CTTCGTGCTGAGTCTGTAGCCCGCGGGAGTTCTTATCAGAATGATCAGTGCGAGTTTTTTGAGCTGCCGTACCATCGTAATCATCATTAGACTCATCCAACGCTTTTCGAAACCTTTGCACTGCCACCAGATTGACACCGAACTCTCTGAAAGTTTAGTATTAGAGTTTCTAGCGCGAATGCCAAGCAGTACAGCATACCGTTACCAAATTGCCGGCTGAGTGAATTGCGTTATGGTGCTCTTTTTATCACAGACGATGCCCAACTGACCCTGCTATGCTGTGTAGTTGACAAAATCAAAAACAATCAACGCGCATATAGACCCGACTTCAGCCAAGTATCCTTTAGCCATGCTCAGCTGATTCTGGTACTTTGCCGAAACGTCGTATCTAAAATAAAATATAGAACAATCAAAGATGGATAAAATAGTTAAATAAAAATGTAAAATAGTAATTCTTGATCTCAATGTACCAAAAACAAATTTACCAAAACGTGTTTCAAACCCGCTTTGATAATCAAATGCCGGAAACATGTGACATTGGATTTAATGACTCTATAAATAATCAAATGGCAACCATTGGTATAATGATATAGTTAATATAAGCGTTGTTTAGTCAAGAGCTGCGGTCATGAGCGTTTTTTACTCAAGAGTTGCGGTCAGGAAATATCAGGAACAAATATAAAATAATGACCTAACACAATAACTGACGCATATGATATGCTAATTATGAAGATGGTAAGATTGTGCTTGGCCAAATTGTTGCGACTACAGTAACATCTGTAAATTCAAACAATGGTTCAATTAAGCTAAGGTTTATTCGTAATTCCTCATCTAAAAAAATCGTTCAATATTTTTCTTTTCCCGCATTACCCCATATGGAAGAATATGCTTACCAAAGATAATCCCTCTATTAAAGATTCTGTATTAGTCTGATCCCAAAATGGCACGTTTTATGCGTAGGCTGTGCAGTAAACAATAATTTTTATGAACAATTATTTTGATGTATTAAATGTAGCTATGATATGGAAAGTACTTAAGATCAAAAGAGAGCAACATTCTACAGAATGATCTTATATTAGCGGAAACATCTTGACAAGAATCAATGAAAAAAGATGTCATTTTGCATAAGCCTGAGAACAAAGATAATCCTTCATTTTTAAACTTCTAACAGTTATTAGCAACACTACTTACTTTATTCGGATTATTGTCCTCATATTTGTCGCCATATCTATTACAACGTTGTAAGCCCCGGCCTTCGTCAAGTGGTTGGAATGTCGAACTGAACCCTTTATTTCGCTCACACGGGTAGACTGTTCTAGTTCCACGTGCCATGTTTAATGGATCTCAGTTATCAGTTATCTCCTGTTAATTGCCCTCTGCAAGTTCTCCACTACCTTAACCGGGTATTGAACTCACACTCTATTTGTTCTGTCACTGGATCTAACTAACGCCTTTATTCACTGTGCCATGTGTCCTTGAACCACCGAAAGAAGGCCGGAGCATACAACGTCCGAAACGTTGTAAGAAATATGACGACAAATATGAAGACAATAGTCCGAATGTAAATAGTGTACATAATACCTCATCTCAGAAATATAGACAGATTCTTAGTTATCAGCAAATATGTTGATCAGTCGAAACTTTATTTTTATTCAGTTCAACTGAATAAATTTTACAAGTATATACAAAAATCCCGTGAACTGAATGCGTTATATCAAAGTTGATTCCTGAGGGAGGTGTCTTCTTATAAAGTGTAACCTGACCTTGTATGTACTTAAAAAAATAAAGTCTCTTTACAGGTGGCCTGGAATACGATGCGCTTGTACAACTTGTGTTACTCCCTAGATGACCTCGTACTTTAGTACTAAACAATAAAGATTGACTTCAGCATTTTTTACTATTTTTGTAATATCGATGGGTGTAGAAATCATTGCTTGTTTTAAAAGGCACAGGTTTTCATCGTTCAACCGAGACAAGTAAAGGTCGCGTCATGACAATCCACTGAAATCAATCGTCTGCCCTCATCACAGCACGACATAGAAGGAACGACAACGACTCACAATTTTTCTGAATAGAAACAGTTTTACGCATATATATATATATATATATATATATATATATATATATATATATATATATATATATATATATATGGGTATGTGCGTTTGTGGAGGGTGAGGGGTGTTAGCGTTCATGGGGTTGGCTCTGAGTACTGCTGGTGATTGACATAGGTGAATATTGAACATCGGCGCCAGGGTTCGTGTGTGCTAATATGAACGCACATTTTAAAAGTTGATTATGAAAAAGTTGTTCTTGTCCATTTGGCTGATTGGCACAAACTACCAAGACACACTTTCTCGAATTGATCCTTATGTAGCAAATGTCTTTATACCTGGAAGACACACACACACACACTGACACGCACACACACACACACACGCGCGTTTCGTCCAATGTGGACTTTATCAAAGCAAATTTGCTTTGATAAAGTCCACATTGGACGAAACGCGTCAGCAATTACCAGTTTTTCCTATTGTCATTTTTATTCATATATATATATATATATATATATATATATATATATATATATATATATATATATATATATATATATATATTATGTCCGTGTGTTTGTATGTGTGAGGGCCTATTACCACGTAAAATACTTAATACATTTCGTTTAACCAAACCACAACACTATATACGTATATAATTAATGGGGAAAACTTGTACAGAATCAAATACACTTTTTGTAGGAACTGAAAAAATAACTGCTCAGAGACTCCAAACAACTCTCGTCAGTTTTTGAATTCAGTGTTCCTTCTTCTAAAACTGGTTACTATCCAAAGCTAAATAGCCCAGTCTACCCTCTATTTTACCCACAGTGTGAAGCTTTCAAGAAAGTATATATATATCTATATATATATATATATGTGTGTGTGTGTGTGTGTTATTTTAGTGTATATATATATATATATATATTCATTTCTTTCACTGTGCAATACACAATGAAATTAAACAGCAGTACTAAGATACACAAATACTAAAAGAGGAAATATCAGTTACATATACAGACATACAGACGTATACACAAAAACAGATGAAAATGAAACGAAGTGATGGCGTTTAAAATTATCATCCTGCAGCAGCATTCATTTGACGCTGGGCCCAAGTATAAAAGCTGTGCATCTAGCGCTTTGTTCAATAACCAATAGAAATGTCCCGAGAGGAAAAGCTCAAACAAGTGTTACCTAGAATTAAAGTGGACGCTAATATATCAAAATGGCGGCGTGCACACATAGACATATGAAGCGACTGAAATAAAGTCTTTCATTACGTGTCTGTGTGTGTGTGTATGTGTGTGTGTATGTGTTCGGAAATTCCATTTTAATGATATTTACAGCAGTATTATGCGTTTATTATGTTCAAAGGAAAAGAAGTATTTTTGTTTTGTATATCCCAAATGTCTTTCCAAAGTACAAATTTATCGCACTAAATCCCAGCACCATCTTTATCTACTCATCCCCCACGTATATTAGAAACCTTTAAGAAAATAATATAAATCTTCGTCTCCACTATTCCAAATATAGTCTGCGAAATCAATGTCTTCTTTTCGCAATCCTGATATTTCACTTTTGAATGAGAGGCTAGGATTTCTTGTCTGTGTTATTTTTTAAAACTTTTACCTCATTATCGCTATAGAATAAGGATTGTGTGCTTGTCTCCTTCATGGGCTAAAACAAATGTAATTCTAAGGGCAACAGGTTATATCCATTGGATGGATGGCTTTTCATATTCTGTGATTTCATGCATGTTCTTGCAAAACTTCATCACATATTCAAATGTGCTATAAATTGAAGAATTTTCTATGAGTTTTAACAATATTGTCATGTATGATTCAATATTCTCATTAATGCCACTGG